TCACCACCACTTTGACGAGAGGTGCCTCTGGCGCCTGTCACGCTCTCGGAGACGGGGACAGGGACAGACCGTGGTCAAAACGCTGCGCTTGAGAGAAGACTGGGGGCAGAGGTTTTGGGGAAAAGGGCTTGTTTTGGAGTTTTACTCCTCCTCAGGATCTGGCGGCACGTAGCCTGTCTGACCTGGACAAAATGCTGCAAGATGGGCTATGAGTCAGCCCAGGAGTGTGTGTGTGTGTGTGTATGTGAGCCTGTGTGTCTCGAGTGGATGTAGCGATATCAGGGGTCACTCGACAAGGTTGGCTCATCATCTTTCAGTTGCCTGGCTCCGGCCAGAGTGTGGCAGGAGCAAGGACTCGCCACCCCATGGATGATGACTCCTCGGGCATGCAAGAGAGGGAACAGAGCCAGCTCTGTGGCTCGGAAATTCCCCCGAAATCACCTCAGTGTTGCTAGGGTTTGGTTTTCTTCTTTTTCTTCTATTTCACGGTAGGAATTACATGGATCCGAGAGGGATGCACGGTTAGATTTATACCTGTGCTTCTAACTGTGGTGCTCCCCCCGTAGCGTTCATTCCCTGCCTGCACTCATGCAAAATGAGATTCTCCAGCCGCAGGCGCGGCCCGGCCACAGTGGAGAAGGACAGGGCTCGCTTTCGTCTGTGTATCAGAGGGTCAAGAGGACCGCGGGCAGGGTCGCAGGGACCTCACCTCGGCTGCGCAGCACAGCTGTGGGACCGGCTGTGGATGAGCTGGCGGCTCCCGGGCGCCATGGGGATACAGTGGTGGCTGTGGGTCGTGGGCTTCCCTGGACTACCTGGCACCCCCACCCGCTCTAGCAGTCTCAAGGGCTGGGCATGTCCCTGCCCTACCAGCAGCGCCGCACTCCCGGCTGCCGTGGAGTCGCCAAGCATTTGCCCTCCCAGCTCTGGAAGCGCAAAGGAGGGACAGGGATGCAGCATGACCCCCTCGGGAAGACCTGGGGCGGGGAAGAGGAAGCATCGCTACTCCGTGCGGTGATGAAGCTCTGTTTGCTCTCCCAGGTGGATCTTTCGGCTCGGTGGGATAGGTCTGTTCGGGAGGAGCGATCCGAGGGCGAGGGATGACTCTGCCAAAGCTACGGCTGGGGGCGCCGAGGGGCCTCCTGGCCGTCATGCTCCGTGCTCCCCGTCGTGCCACTCGGAGCAGTCACCACCAAGCGCCTATGGTCAGCGAGCTGGACGGGAGCCAACCGTGTACCCCGGCCGCACGGCATGTCAGCAGCAGCTCTGGGTGGCATAAACACGATCGCAGCCCGGGAGACCGAGGGAAGGGATTATTCCCCGAGCTCGACGCTCGTGAGACCGTATCGAATAACTACGGGCGGTTTTGGGACAGCCGCTGCAGCAAACAGCTGTGAGAGGTGAAGGGCTGACGAGGAAGGGGAAGCTGGAGCAGCTGTCCCGGGCAGGAAGGCTGAAGGAGCAGCACTGGCTCAGCCTGGGGCAGAGGCGGTGTCGGAGGTATCCCGCAGCACAGCGGGCATGGGCATCCAGAAGCCTGGCTCTTGACAGAGGTGCATAGTGTGAGGTTGAGGGACGGCGGGTGTGAATGGAAACCGGAGTCCGGACGCTGAGGTTCCCGGTCCCGCTCGCCAGCTGGACGTGAACGGGGAGCCGCGTCGCCGTCGCATGGTCCCTCTGTGGACCACTCTCTCAGTTTCACCGTCCCGGGACGGATGGCAGCGGTTCCCTGGCCACACGTGAGCGTGTTCCTGGCTTCGCGCAGAAGTCTCCACCTTCCCGTCTCGTTTTTTCGCGTGGTCCGTCTGCAAGCGGGACTTTCCAAGAAGTTGTTCTTGCAAAGCTCTTTGTTCCCTCCCATGACTCACGCGTTTCCCTGCCGTTATCACGGCGATGTCAGCGCCTTTGAAGTCGAGTCATTTATCACTTTCCCGGAGCTGGCCCTGTCTTGCTCTGCTGATAGAGCCGGGTACGTTTCCACTAGGAGTTTGATCTCTGCCCGCGCTGGTGGCACACTGGAAAGTCACTTTCGATAAACCTCGACAGACTCTGCCGGACAAACTATTGCAGCGCTAATGACAGAGATAATCCTCTCCTAATCTGCCGAGTAATCCATTTCAGCCCAGTGAGAATTTTTAAGGCTTTAATCAGTGAGAGTCAGTTAGGGAATTATTAACAGAGCCTCCGCCGAGCGAGCTCGTCCGGAGAGGGCAGTGGGAGAGGGAAAAGGAACAACGCAACAGGGCCCTATGAGGTCAAAATCGATGCATGGCCGGGCTCAAGAGCTGACGTGATGTATTTTGATGTTACGATAGAATTGCCTTCAGTTCGAACGCCGCGAAAAACCCCGCGCCATCGATCCTCCCTATGCCCGCTCCGACTAGCGGTCCCGGGGGAGCGGGGAAAGCACTGGGGGTGAGGTGCGCGGGGGTGGCTCCTCCCGGTGCCGCGAGGGAGGGAGGCTGTGCCCGCCAGCGCCAAGGCGCGCCGTTCGGCGGGCGGCTCCCGAGCAGAGGTGCCGAGGCGGACCGGGTCTGCTCTCGCCCGACGTAAGAGCGGGGAGCGGCGGGGCCGTGAGGGGGCTGTGCCGGGGCAGGGCGAGGGCTGTGCCGGGGCCGTGCGAGGGCTGTGCCGGGGCCGTGCGAGGGCTGTGCCGGGGCCGGGCGGGGGCTGTGCCGGGCCGGGCGGGGGCTGTGCCGGACCGGGCAGGGGCTGTGCCGGGGCCGGGCGGGGGCTGTGCCAGGCCGGGCGGGGGCTGTACCGGGCCGGGCGGGGGCTGTGCCGGGCCGGGCAGGGGGCCGTGCCGGCCGTGCCGCTCCCCCCGCTCGGGGCCGGGGCCGGCGCCGCCCCCCAACCCTCGGGGGCTCCGCGGGGTCCCCCGGCGAGGCGCGGCCCCCGGCGCGCGCTGATTGGCTGGCGGCGGCGGCCGGCGGCACGCGCCCGGCCATGTCGTTATAAGACCCCTCGCGTGCCGGCCCGCGGCGCCAGCGGCTCCGGCGGCTCCGGCCTCCTCCCGCCTCAGCGGCCGAGCGGGCCGGCCTCCGCCACCCAGGGGCGGGCAGGGCAGGCAGGGCAGGGCAGGGGCGGGGGCCCCGCCATCGCCGGGGCGCCTCGGCCCAGCGGGCCGGCGACAGCGGCTGCGGGCGCGTCCCCCGCGGGGCTGCCCCCCTGCCCCGTCCCGCCCCGTCCCGTCCCGTCCCCGTCCGCGCCCGCGGCCGGGCGAAGCATGGAGGCTGTGCTGCTGGAGCACTTCCCCGGGGGGCTGGACTCCTTCTCCTCGCCCCCCTACTTCGACGAGGAGGACTTCTTCTCCGAGCCGCCCTCGCGGGATGCGCTGGCCGCCGACGGGCTGCTGGAGCCGGACGTGGACTTCCTCAGCCGGCAGCTGCAGGAGTACTACCGCGACGGCGGCGACCCCGAGGGCGCCTACCGCTGCCCGGCGCCGGCCGCCGCCTTCCCGCCGTCACCCGCCTCGCCCGGCTTCGCGTACGAGTGCTGCGGGGCGGCGGGCGCGGCGCTGCTGTCCCCGGGGGGGCGGCTCCAGGCGCTGGGCTCGGCCAAGCGGCGGCGGCGGGTGCGCTCCGAGGCGGAGCTGCAGCAGCTCCGCCAGGCCGCCAACGTGCGGGAGCGGCGGCGAATGCAGTCCATCAACGACGCCTTCGAGGGGCTGCGCTCGCACATCCCCACCCTGCCCTACGAGAAGCGCCTCTCCAAGGTGGACACGCTGCGCCTGGCCATCGGCTACATCAACTTCCTCAGCGAGCTGGTGCAGTCCGACCTGCCTCTGCGCAGTGCCAGCAGCGAGAGCTCAAGCCAGCCCAAGAAAATCATTATCTGCCACCGCGGCACAAGTAAGTGGTGGGCCGGTACTGCGCAGCCTTACTCTGCGCTCCGCAGGAATGCCGGTCCCAGAAATAACCCCCTGCCTTCCTTTCTCCCCCCTGTCCCCTCAGGATCTCCCTCCCCGAGCGACCCCGACTACGGACTCCCCCCTCTGGCCGGTCACTCGCTGTCGTGGACTGATGAAAAGCAGCTCAAGGAACAAAACATCATCCGGACAGCCAAAGTGTGGACCCCCGAGGACCCGCGGAAGGTGAACAACAAACCCTCCGTCAACGACATCGAGAACGAGCCCCCCTTTGACTTCGTGGCGTGAGGCACCGCGCGGGTGGTCCCCGCCCCCGCCCGCTCTGTACATGCTGTATGTAGAGACCTATATTGTAAATGGAATTTAAGATTCAGACTCTAAGGGCAATCAACTTTATTTATCTATTTATTACGGAGTAGTGATGATGAGATAGAATCGTCTGTTTTGATTATATAATTTATATAATTTATCTTGATTTTTTTTAAGATATGCAATAGGTTTATTCCACCAGCACCTTTTTTTTTTTTCTTTGGGGTGGGGGGGAAATATGCCAGAACCTGTGAAAATAATTTATTTCCGCACGTGGACTCTTCCTGTGTTTGTTAATAATAAACCGAATTATACCTTGTGGGAGCAGCGTATTTGTGGGAAGCGGCTGCCGAGAGCCCCACCACATCCCGAGGATGAACTCCCGGCTTAGTCCCCAGGCGGGTTGAACCCCGGGACCCAGTGGCACCCTCGGCCCAGATGCTGGCTCCACTCTGCCCCATCGCCGGCTCGGGCTGCTCTTATAGCGCCGGGAGGACGGGGACGGGAGGGGGCATACTTTCCCCTTCTCTCCTCCCCTTTGACGTGCTCTCCTGAAGTGCTTCCAACTGATGTCTTTGTCTACCTCTAGGAGGTCCCCTCCTTTCAGTGCCTCTGCACTGCTTGTGGTTTCCAGCTGGAAGACCCGAGCCCCCCAAACACCAACCTTGCGAGAGTGTGTGTTCTCCTCTGCCGCCTTGTACCCCCGACCCCGCCGCTATGGGAATGGGGGCTCCGTCCGCACAAAGCAGCACAAAGCTGTTCCCAAAAGTGCCGGGGAGGGAAGGACCAGGTTGGAGGCCGGGCAGGCTTGGTTCCCGTGGGTATGTGGCCCCGCGCCGGGATCCTGCCGGCTGCCCCGAGCCTTCCGCGGTTCTTGCCACGGCTGCGCCTGGGAAACGCTCCTCGCCCTGGGGATGCCGCTAGTAGCGGGGAGGGGGCAGGGGGATGGCAAAGCCATCGTGCAACTGGTGGCAGAATCGCTCTGGTAGCCCCAGCTCAGTGTGCCCGGCTGCAGAGGAGACGGCTGTGCTGCACCTGCCCGGGGGCGAGGGGTGGGGGCGGCAGGGGTCGGTCGGGCCGGGGGCTGCAAGTGCTCCCGGCGGGGGTAGAGAGGGGGGCGGCCCGGGGCTGGGGCGAGGGGCTCGGCCCGACGCCGCAGGTGCTAATTTTCCCGTGGCACCCGCGGCTCAGCCCCGACGGCTCGGCCCCCGGCAGAGTCCCAGATGCCCGGCCCGGCCCACGGCCGGAGCAGAGCTGTTCCCGCGCAGTGCCCAGGCGGATGGGAACGGCCCGGGTGAGCCAAGGTATAATTATAACTCATCGCATACTGTACATCTCTCCCTCCTTTTTTTTTTTTTTCAAAGCTGCCGCAAAGTGGGAGCAATATGTTGCATGCATGCTAATTGCATTAACCTAGTTAGACACATTTAGTTCCCTAGAGCGGATGGCATGGATCTATTCCAATAGCAATTAGAGGAGCTACTTACCCACACAAACACGCCGAGGCAGGGCCGGGGCGGGGTTGGGGAGGGGTCATTGCTTTTTTTATTTGCTCACTTTTCTTGCGATCTCGGGCTGCGGCTGGGCTGACCGGCCGCAAGCCTCGCCCCGTCCGGCGGCGGGCGGGAGGCGGGCGGCACCGGTGTCATTGAACTTAAACGGAGCTCTCTGAGAGAGAAAAAGAGACGACCTATAATTCGATCTTGTCCTGTATTAGGACCTCATTAAACACAGAAAGTCGCTTTTGCACAAATGCTTCCATCAGGCATGTAATCTCATTACACTCATTAGAAAGTCAAATGTTAGTCGGACTTCAGCTTAATTATAAGTTATGGAAGTGTTGTACCGTTTCCTTCTGTGTATAGCCTCGTCCGTCTCAATTGGCTTTGGTGATGCGGTCCCCCACAATTAAAACACTACAATCATTGTTATGTGGCACCTTTTCTATAGCGTGCCACTTTTTTGTGATTCAATGCTTCAACACATCCTTTAGTATGGTGCAGATGAAGCGGAAGAGCCGGCCTTCGCATGTAAAGCACCAGGGTCTCTATCTTGTCACTCTCCCGTCTTGACTTGGCAAGTCCCTTTAAATTCAATCTTCAAAGAGACTGACAGCTCCTTTTGACTGACTCATCATCCATTCACCCCAGCGCCGCGCTTCTGCGACAAAATCCGCCGCACAGGGCAGGAGGGAACTGCCTGTGCAGGTCCCCTGGCCCGGAGACCCGGCGGGACCGGGCGGCTCCCTCAACTCCGGCTCGCAGTTTTTGCGGTAGCCTGGGGGGGGAGTTTGCTGGTGGGGAACACGGGTCGGCGCGGTACGGACCAGCGTGGGGAAGGCGCGACTGACAGCCACGAAACCCCGGATCCCAGCCTCCTGCCACTCCTCCTCCCCGCGGCCGTGAGCTGCACCTTCCAGCACTGCCCACCGAGGCGCCACGGGCAAGAGTTCCCCATCTCCCTACCCCGCTCCCGGAGCCCCCGCCGCCCGCCTGAAACCTCGCGCCGGCTTCCCCGGGGGCCGCCCCTCCGCGGCCGCACTACCCCGACGGCAGTAGGGAGGGGGGGCGGGGAGGCCCACCCGCGCCCCGGGACTGTCCCGCCTCTCTCCCCCGCCCCACCCCCCCTCCACCCTCAGCGCCACAATCCCCGCGGGGGCTGCAAAGCGGGGTAGAAGAGAACAAAACGGGGGGAAAAGCCCCGGCCCCGCTTGGGATGGGCGGGAATGTTAGGGGCACTTGCAGGCTCTATGCTTCCCGCAGGCTCCCAGGACAGAGGTGCGGGTTTTAGGTGTGCGGGCTGATGGGCTGATGCTATCCTTCCGTGACCAGCATCACTCGTGATGCTCCAGGTGAAAAGACTACTTGATTGTCCGAAATGGGCAATACCCCATTAAAAAAACCACCAAGCCCCCACCAAAAAACCCCAAACCCAACAACAGCAAACAGAACCCTAAAAAATAACAACCCCCCCACCTAAGCTTGAAAGACGGGAAGCGTCAGACCGCTCGCCTGCACACCCAGCAAGGGGATGGGAAGGCGTGCGTGACTCCTCGGCAGCGCTGTGCGCAGGCAGGGGCTGCCGTGGGCACTGTGAACCCGTCCCGCCGCGGTTCCCAGGGTCTCTCATCTGCCGGCAGTCGGGCGAGCGCCCTGCGAGGCGCGGGGCGTGAAGCCTCCCCAGCCCGGGATCTCATCCCTCTTTCATTCACGCATCTCTCGCTGGCACCGAGTACCAGCTGCGAGGTCGAACAAACACCAGTTGAGTGTCCCCTGGTAAACCTCCCGCTTTCCAAAGCATCCCGCAGCCGGTGGGAATGGTCCTAAATAACTCCACAACAAACCGCGCTGCTGAGACCTGGAAGCGTGGGCGGGAGCCGATTCCCACGACGGGGCCGGGGTCTGGCCAACAGGTGCTCGGGTTTGGCGGAGGGCGCCGGGGGAGCCCGGGGAGGCAGAGCCTCCGCTGCCAGAAAGCAGCCTGCTCCGGCGCCTCCGGCTTTACATGGCGTGGAAGCCGCAAACAATCGCAATGATATCTTTATTGCTAGGTTCATGTCCTGGGCTATAACATATCAATCCCTGTCGTGGTTCTCTCGGATGCACCTGGTATTTCAAACTTGTTCTTTTTGTGCTTCTGGGTCCTGGACTGCAGCTGCCTAAAGCGAGCAAAGAGAGAGGCCCTTACAATGTGTCCAAGACGTGTTGGCATGGTTTGCTTGTCTTTAATGTACCATTAACTATTGTCTTTACACAATATGGGAACTGTAAAGCATGACATGTGTTATAATAAAACACATTTTCAACGATACACTTGGACTAGGCACTGGGATGCAAGCAAACAAACAGGCCCAAATCTTGTTTTGTCTCCCTCGCTAAGCCTACTGGCAATTAAACTTAAGACCACTGCTTTCCCCTGATCAGCCAATTAAATTTTATGTCTCCTAATTTTTCACATAGAAAAAAAGTCTCAGTGCCGGCCCCTAAAGACATTGATTTTCTTGCTATCACCTGGCGCTCAGACCTTAGTTCCATTTATCAAGAAGGGAAACGTCAGGCGTTACATAAAGTGACTCTGTTACCATAAGGCTCTCACCATCCTGCCCTATTGTTTTCCCTTGTTAATAACTCATTACCAGGATTTAACAAATCAACCATTACATATGTTTTGTGTCTCCATATTTTGATCCGTACGATTAAGCAGATGTTACGATTGAAAATTGAAAAGTCCAAGGCTACTCTCGTCTGAAAGAAAGAGGGCAGCCTCAAACAACGAGCTAACAATGAGATTCAGAAGATCTTCAGAAAAACATTTACGACCAATAAACAGACTCCAACCTGCTCCATTTCAACCATTGTGCGCCTTGGGGGAATAATTAAGTTGAATAGGAAGAGGTCCGCGGGGTTTTCAATGCCAAGCCCACAGGTGCGGGGTGGCACGATGAATGATCCGCCTGATTTTTGCCAGGCTCAAGGGCCCTTCTCCTGGCCGGGCGAGCAGATACGAAATATTGTCATTTCTTTTAATTCACAGTGTTACTCTCAGGGCGAACAAAGGGGCGGGGGATGAATGCCTCCGGCTGCAAGCGAGGCGCGCCCGGCCGCCGCTGGCCTCTCCGGAGACCGCCCGGCGGGGACGAGCGCGCCGCCGCCGCCGCGCCCGGGGCCCGTCCCGGCGGGCACGGGGGGGTGTCCGTGCCCCCCGGCCGCCGCCGCCCCCCCGCGCCGCTCCCTCCCGCGGGCGCCCCGGTCCCGCGCCGCCCCCGCGCCCCGCACCGCCGCGCGCCTCGACGCGGGGACGGACCCCGCGCGGGCGCACGTGCGCCCCGCCGCTCCCCGCCGCTCCCCGCGCCGCCGCCGCGCACGGGAGGGGCCGGGCGGGGCGGCCCCGGGCCGGGGGCGACTCCCAGCCGAAGCCCCCGGTGAGGACCCGCCGCCGTCGGGGCCCCGGCGAGCGACAGCGGGCGGCGGCGGCAGGGCTCTCCCGCCCGCCGGCTAGCGTTGCGCATGGAGGTCTCCAAGAGGGGGCCCGGCTGCCAGGAGCCCCTGCGGGCCAGGGCGGCGCCGCCCCTGAGCGGTGGCAGCGCCGGGGGCGGCTCCGGGGGGGGCCCCGCCAGGAGCCGCCGCGTCGCGTAGCGGGGCCCCGTCTGGCGGCGGCCACGCCGAGAGGAGCGGGGCTCCCCCCGGGCGGCCCCTGGGGCGGCGGCGCCGGCTCCAGAAGCAGCGCTCGGCTTTCGGTCTGCGGGCGCAGCGCCCGACCGGGCGGCCCGGAGCCGGCCCCCGGGAGGCCCCGCGGGAGCGCCCGCCCCCTGCCTGCCTCGGTCCCCGCACCCCCAGTCTCCGCCTCCCGCCCCGGCCCGGCGCGGACCCCGCTTTCCCCGTGCACCTGCTCCGCGCAACCTGTAAAGCCGAGCGGCTTGGAGAAGGCAGGGGAGGCCCGGCCCCACCGCGCCAGCCCCGCTCTGGGCGCCCCGCGGGCGGCACCGGAATGTCGAAAGGTTCTGGCAGCTCTGCCCGGCCCTGCCCTACCCCGCCCGGACGGACCACGGCCGCCCTGGTCCCCCCAGTCCTCACAGCCCCGGGATTCCCAGTTGGAACGGCGTGGCCCGAACCTCCAGCTCCGCCGTGCGAAGGCTGCCCGTTCCCCGGGGATGGGCAGCGCGGCGGGGTCGCACGAGTGGGACCATCCCACCGCCACCGCCCCGCGCCCCGACGGGGTCCCGAGCCTTCTGTCGCCGCGCGGCTTGGGGAGAGGGCCAGGCGGAGGGAATTTCTCGGCGGCGGAGCTCCGCACCCGTCGGGCGAATGAAGGTGGCTTCCCGTTCTGGGAAATGTATCCACCGAAAGCCCCGATGGCAACCCTGACCTCCAAATTCACGGGGGCCGGGGCCGGTCCAGGGCGCTCGCGTATGGGCCCCGTGGAGAACGATGTCCCGGGAGAGAGCCACGTCTCGGACCCGGACATCTCCCTAGTGGATGGCGGGCAGGGACGCCCCCAGGGCGGAACGGGCACCTCCGACGGTGCCGACTCCCACTCGGGCGACCACGCTGAAGTGAAAAGTGGCCCGAGGCGCGCTGGGACGAGTGGGAAGCACTCCTGCCGTCCCAGCGAGACCCCCAGAGCTTCTCTGGTGCCTGACCGCCGCCGGGCGGCTGGAGATGGCAGAGTTTTGGGGAAAGGGGGGAAACACGGAACCTCTGGGATGTGTCTGGGCAGATTGTGCCCGCCAGCGTGGGGAGTGCGGTCGGCGGGGCCGGGAATGCGCGGAGCACTGCGGCCCCCCCTCGGCGGAGCGCAGACCGCGACACTGACCTTCCCGCGGGGGGGAACGGCGCGTCTTTCACAGAATTAGCCGCACAGGCGTCTCGCTATAACTTTTGTTCCTCGCCACCACCCGGACACACCGCACCCGCTCCGCCGCCAGCCCGTCCCGTCCCGTTCCCGACGGCTTTCCCGTGCCCTGCCCTGACAATACGGGAAATGCATCACTGTCACCGGTCGCGGGTGACAGATGAGGCAAAGGCGCGGAGCCCTCGCCAAGGTCAAGTTGAAGATGTCGGTGGCTGTGCGGTCGCCGCCTGTTGAAGCTGAACACGGCCTTGGCGGGGGCCTCTCCAACGTTGTATTTCTACCTCCCCCACTTCCCCTTCTCCTTTGATAGCCCTTTTTGCGGGGGCCTGCGAGGCCGGGGCGCTGTCCGAGGGAGCGGGGCGCTACGCGGTGCTGCGCGGGGTGGGGGCACAGAATGCCGGAGCTCCGGGCCCTGCGGGGCCAGGTCCAGCTGAGCCGCGCCGTGATGGGCTGGGCCGGGGCGCAGAGTTTCGACCGCGAACACAAGCGCGGCTGCCGGGTTGAAATAAACTGCTAAACGCTCTGGGATGAGTTTTATCCCGTGTTCAGCAAAAGTTTTCCAAATGGAATCTGGTTAAACAAACACTTAGTCTTGTTCCCGCTCCCGCTCTCCCTCGCTCTGTGATGATTGATATTTTTTATTCAGCCAACTTTTATTTACCTTGCAAAAATGTTGGGGACAAATGTGATAAATTACAGATATGCAAATTTCTTTGAATGGCGTTGTAAGTGTGTCTCGCTGGAGCTGAATAAGTCCTTGCAAGTCGGTCTGCGCGCACTCAGGACCCCAGGGAGCTGATCAAAGCACCCTTTCTCTTTCATCCCCAGTATTCTCCTCCAAACTATTTCGATACAATATGTTTCCATGATGCACTTAATGTGCTAGGGACACAGAACTCATTACAACCTAGCTAGTTCTGCCGACCCCTTTGTTCAGAAGCATAAAGTTAAAAAAAAGGAGGGGTGGAGGGGGGGAACTCTGCTAGTTGCCAGCTTTCTGAAATGTTAAAGCATGCGTCATTTTTCACCAGGTCTCGTCTTGATATCCTCAAAAGACAAACTATGAAACCGGCCTCAGCCCTTTCTGGCATTAATTACGCTGCTGTCCAGCCGATCTGTTTTTCCTATTATATGCATTTCTCAGCAGGGATTTTTTTTTTTTTTTTGCAAGACTAATGCAGCTGCAAGTCGAAGTATGAATGCGTTGTATCGGTATAAAAAAAAATAAGTGGAAAGGCCTGAAAAAGATGTCAAAGTCTATACTGACTTTTTTTTGGTTGCCCATGTTTGAGGCAGTGACTTTGGAAAAGAGTTTTGTATCACCCTGTTGCATTAATTGGTTTTATTTCCAGTTATAAGCTTCTTAGAAGGGAAAAATCTCAGCCGGAGGCTGCTGGAAACAGGTTACATGTTTATTGAATGCCGATGCGCCCAACAAATCTTTTCTCACAAGGGAATCGCTTCAAAGTATTTGGGGAAATAGCTGGATATTAGTAGACGCGAGTTCAGGGCGATCCATTTCAAACCCACGGCGAGGTGGCGACTGTTTGGGGAAATGACTCCAGCAGGATGACAGTAAGAAATAAACTCTATTTCAGCGGATGGCGCGTTTGTTTACAGGGTTGATTGGTTGACGGAAATGGCTGGCAGCCAGTTCTGGGAAAGATTCCAGACCTGACTCCGATTAACCCTCTCTGGTGAAACTCTGCTGGAAACCAACTCACCAGCAATTGCCATTAATCTACTTACTAATTAAGCCAATTCATTTCTAAAGGAGAAAAATTCCTTTCTTTGGCCAAACTGATGGGAGGAAATTTGAAAGAAGCGCCAAACTGTGTAACTGTAATTCAGCCAAGGACTGCTAAAACAAGGTGTTGATATATAGCTGGAGATTTAAAACAAGTTTCTAGGGCAACAATCCTTTGGAGACGGTGGTATATAGTGCATAGTAGATGAAGCTCGAATAATGGTGGACTGCAGTGTGCAATTGTACGGACATTGGTTGGAACCAGGACGGTTTTTCCCAATTAAACTGTTCAAGGCTTTTACTCCTAATAATTTATCCGCCCCATTTTAACGTTTCAGCCTTCGGCGACAGCTACAAAGAGCATCTCTGCCGGACCCAGAGAACACGGTCATACAATCATAGAAAATCGTAGAAGTCCAACTCCTGTCTCTGGACAGGGCAACCCCAAAAATCACACCATGTGCCTTGAGAGCACTGTCCAAACGCTTCTTGAGCTTTGGCAGTCTTGGTGCCGTGACCACTTCCTTGGTTGTGGAACTTGACGTCAAACTTTTATCCAGTGTTGGCGACGACACCTCAGTTCCCCTCTCCCCGGGGCCCAGTAAGACACAGGGACACGCTCTGCCCTCACACTACTATGTGCCAGCCAGGACCTGCCTGGGATCCTCAAGGCAACCTGGTGTCCCAGCGGTGTCTCTCCGGAGGCTCTCAGAGAGGCAGGGACATATTTTACTAAGGTTTCATCTTTAGGTTAGCAACGTTTAGCTGCTAAACACACGGCTCAGGTGGGGGAGGCGAGTCCCAGGGGGACCTGGCCGCTGGTCGAGGCCGCGGTGAGCCGGCCCGGAGGGCAAGGTGATTTTTTTTTTCAGAGGAAGCCGCCACACCTTGCGCTGCTGGCAGCAGGACACCTGCTAGGTGAGGGAGAGCTTCACTATTCGATCCGGCACCCGCAGGAGAAGGAGCAGCCCCCAGCTGCCTGCCCTGTCTGCCTGCCCCACCACCAGCATCCCTGCCCGCCCCCGGGGCCTGGCTGGAGCCCAGTCAAGGGCGCTCTCCATCCCGGGCAGACCCAGGGCACCTTCACCGTTCGCTTTTCCCTCTCACACACCCGTGCCCCATCGCCTTTCTCTGTCCCGCACCACTCTCAGAGCAGCCCCGTCTCGGCCGGAGGCGAAGGACAGCTGCCCCCAGTCTTGTCTCGTCTGTGCCGGCAACGCCGACATTCCCAAAGCAGTGCTGAGGATGTGGGACCTATGGGAGGCACTGAGCGGACAAGGGAAGGGCCAGTGCCCAGCCTCAGACCACGGCGCTCGCCCGTACCCGCGCCTCCCACACCCCCAACAACCGGGCTGTGCCTGTGAAAGGCACAGCCCCCCGGAGTATATGGTGTGTGAGAGTCGACGCGCTCAAGAGCGGATAGTTCAAAATCGGTGTAACTGTTACCTCATGTTTCGTTGTTGTTTGTTGGTTTGGTTTGGTTTTATTTTATTTAGGTGCGAGGCAGTGAAAGGCAATCGCAAGAGAAACAAATAAAGCGTTCGGCGGAGCCGACTGTGGACAAGGCGGCGGTGGTCAAAGTGCTCGGCAGGAGGTAGGAGGATGCTGAGCCCTGGACATGAACAAACCACCCTCCCAGAAAGCAGCAGCCTCATGTCATTGCACTAAAATGACAAGATCTCATGAAACACACGGTAATACCACCAAGTGATAACAGCAGAACTATAGACACAACCTGGAGAGGAATGGGGAAACATTTTCTCCATCAGCTGAAGCCAAAACTCAGCAGGTGCTGTAGGTAATGTGCTATGCCTTCGTATCTCAAGCAAACACTCAACTTCTTCGTTTAAGTCTCTCTCTGAGATCATAAAAAATAGGATGCAATATCCTAAAAAGACTAATGACATTTCACAGGTAATGCAATTTAGAAAGAAACACTTCCATGTTTTCTTTTCCAACAATGTGCATTTTTGTAAACTGCTATAAATTGCAATTCAAAAGCCCTGATCTCGCCATCCCCAATCATTTTTTATACTGATCAAATGAATGCAGATACTCCCATTTGGGAGGGGCGACATGACATTTCACTTGGCAGTTCTAAACAGGTCACGGACCTTTCACAGACCCTAAGGCAGTGGGAGGGAGCTCTTTACGAAACCGTGTAACCAAATCAAACCAATGGTTACCCCTTTTCAATACCATTGGAATGGTTTGCACAATGCTATTCACATAGCAGCAGAGAAACTGAAAGGATGGTCATCCAATGGAAATTTCTTTTCTTTTGTTTAAACTTGTGAAGCTCCAAAAAAAACCCTGGAAAACAATTACTTTTTGTATGACAAAAAGCTAAACACTTCTACGTACAGCAGTACGTGTACACCAGGGCCGTCGGCGCGCCTGGATGTTTATACAGATATAGTCACACATCTGTGTGTGGGGATGTACATTTACTGGAGATGTTGCTTTGTTTGAAGCCATAGGCACAAAGACACAACATGGCTGCCCTGGAGATGACCTATTGCTTTCAAGTTGCTTGAACACATCAGAATTTCTATTGTTGAGGTTGATTAATTGAAACTGATAAGTTACCATGAATAAAGATTGTTTTTCTGTTTAATGTGGTGGGCCTGATTTGGTAAATGCTTCATTCATGTAGCCTTGCAGTGCAGCATATGGGCAAGATTCATTCAGTATCGCAAACATATACAATTTATTATGCCTGTATGGTCACAGCCAAAAGGCCTTTCTATTTTAATGACAAACTTTGAATGAAAAATTCCATTTAAAGAGTCACTAACATTAAGTGCGGCTTTGTAATTTATTCCTGTTGCTGGCTGCCGGTGAATCGAGCTTTTGGAAAAGCGGAGACGCGGCGGGCAGGGCCGGCAGCACCGTGCTCCGGGGCCAAGCAGCCGCTCCTCGCAGGCCTTGGCTGGCCCACGCGTGGCGAGGATGCTCCACCACCCCGTGTGTCACACGCTGCTGCTAAAACTCATCGCCGTCGAGCCGCGGCGCCACTGTCGCCTCCCCGCGCTGTCCTGGACGGGGCGGACGAGGGATCCGCCATGGCTTCCAGCGCCTCCTCTTCGGGCAGAACCTCCCACGGGCCCACGAATGCCTCTGCCTGAAGCAGAAGGTGTCAGGAACGCCGTGTCCAACCGGCCTTGCCCCCGCCGCCGCTGGAGTCGCACGCCGAGGGCCGCGGTGCCCTCCCTGCGCCCCGCCTGGGCTCAGGCTCCCAGAGCCGTGGTGCGGCACGTGTGGGCGGCCGGAGGCTCACGGGGGGCTTTCCGCATCCCCACGGAGCGCAGCCCAGCCCCGGTGGCGGCAGGGAGGGCGGCGGGACGTCCGTGGATGGAGAATGCCTCCCGCCGGTTCCGTGGGGTGCCCTCCCCGGCCGCGGGTGCCACCGCGGGTGAGGTTACACGGAAAGGGCAAAGGAGAAACGAAAGACTTCGTCTTCCCTCAGGAGATTGTGTTCATATTC